ACTTTCGCCAGTGGGTCACTGGTGGATGTTGGGTGTAAATCAGTACAGTTTGTGATGTACTGTGTGTTATTTGTCATGATGTCAACTAACATTGAAAAAATTCAGCTGTTTCAGAGGAGGGACATGTCTTGAAAGCTTATGGTTTTTACCTGGTCGTAAGCTTGGCCAGTATGTAGATCAAGAGCTTTTGAATCCCTTTGCGAGGGGGGCGTAAGGGGGGGTACCAATACCGCAAAACCGCACAGAAATACGTGTAAATACCGCATAGAATAACATAAGAAAACTGGAAACCGCATTGAAATTACCCGAAAATTTCTAAATACTGCAAACCGCTTGATTTTGTAAAACCGCAATACCGCAACTTAAAATAAAAATCACCGCAAAACCGCACCAAAAATCGTGCAAAACCGCATTACCGCAAACCCTTACACCCCACTCCTTTGCCAAAATAAAGTTAAAAATATATTGATCCAAGTGCATGACCAGCAGGGTCAGCAGTAAGAAAAGAGAAAAAGGCCAAAAGGAAAAATAGTGTTAAAAAAAAAGAGACCAAACAGGAAAAGAAAACGGTACAAAGAAACAGAAAACAGCGTCGCTGGGAGTCGAACCCGGTTTATCTGCACGTGCGAGCAACTCCTTGAGCACTGCACCATTGTGACACACATAATTGGAAACATTAATTTTGTCATATCAAAACAATTTTTCTCTGCCATAGACGCTGTTTTAAGCTGGCGGAGCTGTATTTATCATGAATTCAGATATAAATTTGAGGAAAATTAGCTTAAGCGCGTATTTCAAAGCTATTTCGCATTATTTCGGGTTCAACGGGCCGACTCGATGTAGACAATCGATCGAACTAACAGAATTAGGAGATCAACAGAGGCCCACACTCGAAAGGAATGTTATGAAGTTAGGCCCATTTAATTAGCATCTATCTCAGTTCTGCCTGTAGTAAGTAAATTAATTGAAAGAGTTGTTTTTAATCAATTATATGAATATTTAAATAATAATAACTTGTTAACTGAATCACAATCTGGCTTCAGACCTATGTTTTCCACTGAAACAGCTTTACTTGAGGCTACGAATGAATGGCTATGGAATATTGACAACAGTCTCTTAAATGGTGTGATATTGCTGGACTTGAAAAAAGCTTTTGATACCATGGATCATGCTATCCTTCTGGGAAAGCTTAAACTCTAGGGGGTCAGTTCTCAATCTCTTAACTGGTTCCAGCCCTATCTATCTGACCGAAAGCAACAAACGTTCATTGATGGAGTTCAATCTGATTTCTGTAATATAACATGTGATATTCCACAGGGGTCTATTTTAGGCCCTCTCGTATTCACTATTTATATTAATGATCTCCCTTCACGTAATTTGTTTTCAAAACCCAGAATGTATGCAGATGATACTACCCTTACCACATCTGCAGAAGACCCATGTGTCCTTGAACATAAAATGAATTATGATATGAATTTAATCCAGTCATGGCTGTCAGCAAACAAATTAACTTTAAATGTTAAGAAGACTAAATACTTGCTTATAGGGAGCCAATTTAAGTTATCCCAAATAAATAGTGACTTCACAGTCAAAGTCAATAATACACCCTTAGAAAGAGTAATTAAACATAAATCCCTTGGAGTTCAAACTGATGAATCTTTGAACTGGCGCCCACACATTCATACCATTTCAAAGAAAATATCCGCTGCTATTGCTATCTTAAGGCGTGTAAGTCATTTTATACCATTTGACACTAGAGTGAATATGTACAATGCACTGGTAATGCCATATTTTAATTACTGTGGTGCCGTATGGGGTAATATCAATAAGGGACTAGCAGACAAACTTCAAAAGCTGCAGAATAGGGCTGCTAGAATTCTCACCTTTTCTAACTATGACGTTCGCTCAAGTGTTTTGTTGGATGAGCTTGGCTGGGAAAGGCTAGAATATGTAAGACTTAAACAGTTGGTTGTGACAATGTATAAAATCCATAATAATCTTTCCCCATCGTATCTGAGGCGGATCTTTACCAACACCTCAAATGACATTCACACAATCTTAGAAATTCTGAGTTAAATTATGTCCCCAGACACAGAACTGAGTCTGCAAAAGGGAGTCTACACTACAGAGGATCTGTTCTGTGGAACAAGATTCCCTCAGAGATTAGAAAACTGCCTATTTTAAATGTTTTTAAAACTTCAATTCATGGGAAAGATTTTTCTAATACACTATGACCCATTGTAACTCTTATTATTCATAATGTAAGTTTTTGTATTTTTAACATTATAGTCAATAGTTGCTTAGAGTATTTTAGTCTAGTTTTATGATGATGATGATGATGATGATGATGATGATGAAATATAAACATGGGTGATCTGTGAATGGAATCTCCTATTCTGGAGACTAGACCTTGCCTCTTTTAGAGAAAAAAAAGATTTAAGTTTGGTGACCTTGCCGGTCCCGTGAAATAGATGGCGATCCCGCAACACGGCCCGCAGAACAAATGAACAAAATAATACAATCACGGAAGCAAAATATCAAAACGGTTTACACAAGCAGATTATAGCAACACCAAAGCTCACACTCATTCGATCAAATTAGCGATAAATAGCGATATTTGCTAGCTTCTTAGCTTTTCCTCGACCTCGCTCGTCCAAATAACTGTCGTATCCCTTGCTAATTTGCACAAGCGACCCGAGGCTCTTGCCCGTTACTATGTGACGTCATACTGGCAGGCGGAGTGGGTCAAGAAACTTAGGTGGAAAGCAATAGAGTTAACCTCGTCTCCAGGGCTTTTCCCTTAAAAAATGGGTGGGGCGGGAAAAGGCCCTGGCATCGGCTGGTCACGTGTCCCCTCGTACACCCTAAAATCCTGGGTGTAATAAATTTGCGCTATGAGAAAAGCTAAAATTATGCGTAACCTCACAGCGCGCGATCTTGGGCGGCCTTTTATATCTCTTGACGATTAAAGAAAAGTTTTAGAAGATTTCCCTTTTCGTCAAAGATGCTTGCCATGGTAAAGTTTTGCTTTCCTCCGATTTCTATGAAAGGAAAAGCGAGTAACATTTATAAAACTTTGATTATAGAGCGGTATAAATGACAAACAAGCTATCGTACATGCATAAAGTATGTACTGGACGAGTCCGCTTTCTCGACTCTTTAGATATTTTATTTCATTTCTTGCGAAGTGGCCGCCGTACACAGCCTACTTCTATTTACCTTAACTCTCAGCCATATCATAGCGACACGCGTTGGTTTAGACTTATCCTTTATGACCTGTATTTGACCTCTGCGATCAAACGACTGGCAACGGAGAAAGACTTGGGTCCATTTAAAATTGACAGAGCTGTAGTTGATTCTTATCGATCAGTCAATCTTCCCTTTGATAAAAGGAAGATCCTTTGTACTTATCCTCGGAAGAGAAAAGATTTCAGAGGTCTTCAAATGTTTCTGCTTTCAGATCGGCGACCTGTCATCGTTCCTGGCTGAAGGGCTGATTTGCATCCGGCGAGAAGATCTGTTTGTTTCATGGTCGGGTTGTAGAGAAGACCAGACTCCATAAAGCATTTTGATGAACAATTCTATTTCAATCAAGTTCAATTTGTTTAAATTCCCTGCACATCCTGTGGGCAAAGACCCACATCTTTGTTTGACATTGGACAAAATCACTCTTCGCTTGATCGTACAGTAATTCGACAGTCACGGTGAATTTCAGTCGAAGTACTAGCCGATTAACAGCTTGGTTCAACTCTGAAGCATTTGACTTATTTTGTACGTGACAACGTAGAGCAGGTACGCCCTTTCATAAACTTGTAGCATTTGAATAATGTGCAATTAAATGGATCTTTTAAGCTTTTCAATCGCACACACGCGATGTTACAGTCAAACCAGGTCAAGCGTACCCCCCAAGAATCCATTATTCAAAAGTTGAATCCGTTGCTAGTTGTAGATTTCAGATTGATCTCTGCATTCTTGTATGTGTAATGAGCCGTGAATTCACACGCGAGGCAGTTATGAAATTTCTACCAGCTCCATTTTCCTGAAATTGATGTAAATGTCTTTGAAGAAGCTTAATCCATTCAAAGATTTCCAATCTGACCAAATACAGAGAAGTTCTCGTAAAATATTCACTGCTCATTACGCATGCAGAAATGCCGCTTTGAATTTGACACCAGTTACGGGAACGACTAACGGATTCATTTTTCAAATAATCAATTCACTGATAGAATCTTGGGGGGTACGCTTGACTTGATTTGACTGTAATATTTTCCATTGTCACTCCCTTCGACTTCTGTCAGCGCAAAACCAGCGGGTTGCATATAAATTAGCTTCGCAGGAATATTTAGGCTGTACACGTGACCAGCCGATGCCAGGGCCTTTTCCCGCCCCACCCATTTTTTACATTTTTTAAGGGAAAAGCCCTGGGGACGAGGTTGTAGAGTTACCTTCCGCCCCCCCCCCCGTACTGGACCAAAATTGCTTGGAGGGGGAGGGGAGTTTGTTGTTCATAATCTTTAAAAGTCGAAAATACGGTCAGAGTTTTCACATTATTCTCTATCCTTCTGTCCAAGATTGTAGGTATCAGCCGCAAACGCTTTGATAGACTGTGGCCTTTGCTACCATATGGCATATTTGTGAAAATGCTTGGTGCTGCATATATCCATTGAGCTTAGAGTTGCCGTTAATACACAAGGCCATTTTTGCTAGCAACTTGTCTCCCACATTTGTTGCACAAGTTGCACGAGACATTGCCTTGTGTAACATACCTGAAGTGTCTCTTTTAGTTTTACTTATCCCAACAGTTGCGGCAAAAAAACTGCGAGAAAGTTTTGGTATGTTACACTAGGCAATGTCTCGTGCAACAAATCTGCAAAACAAATTATACCAGAGAAATTGCCTAATGTGTAACAGCACCTAGAATTTTCATGAAACATTCGCATCAAGGGTCCATAGACGTATATTTTATTTCTTCAATTTTTTAACACATATCAGAGAATATGATAGTATTTACGCCTTCCAGCCAACTTTGCATTCGTTAAAACAAAATATTACGGTACAACAATCATGCGTTAAATGGATCTCTAATATATCGTTATAGCATGTGATACAATGTATTGCTTGTTTGATTTCTTCGACTCTCTCGCGGATCTACGGGACAGGCCGAGTCTTCTGTTTTCCATTGGGCATTAAAGTAAAGATAGCTTGAATGGCCGATGAATCCTTAGCTGTTGCAGACACCAGGATGTTGTTATAAAACATCACTTGAGCTTGGATTCTCTTCATGCATTCAAAATCCAGTGGTTTTTTTGCAGTCTGGCCACTGCAGCCAACGGTTTCCAGGAAAGGCTTGATGTTTATAGCGAAGTAGGGAATTTCATCGAATTTACCACGAAAATCGGTAACCCATCTCCGGGATATTTTTTCTGGGTCTTTTCCAGGCTGTAAATGATAAAATGGGAGAAGCTTGGCTGCCTTCAGTGCATTTGCGGGGTTAGGAATCCTAGACAATATATTGTAGATGCTTTTCATGGCGTGGAAAGTACGGTGCAGGTACTTGCTCATTTTTAGGAGGCAGGCTTCGACTTTGAGTTCAGTGCAGTGTTCATATTCCTTGTTGGAATCGGCCCAGTTCTCGATCATGGACGCCCAGTAATCCATCACCGTGGTGCCTTTCTTAACAACAGCTGAATGCATTTGAAGATCGCCGACCACGTGTCTCATAGCGCCTCGCGTGTGATAGGCCTCGGCTGCATACACTAGGGCTACAGACATCTGAAACACACGACACAAAGGGTTGATAGATGACAGTGCATTTGAAACTGAAGTTTTTATGGATAAATTAGTCAGAGTATGAGGTGGGCTGGGGAATTCACATATCAACCATAGACCTTTTCTGTCATAGGCAAACTGTCACTATCTTAAATAAGGTCTATGAAAGTACTTTGAGTAGCCATCTTACCTCTTATAGGTGCATATTTACCGAAAGTTAAAACTACTCACAGATACATGAAAAATAATTGAACCCTCTCTCATCCCTTCAACACATCTTGTTGAAAAATCTGTTGTGTCTGGTTTACATTAACCTGTTTCATATGTCATTCATCTGTAAACAAAAGGAATCTTAGATGACTAAATAATGCTTAAATGTAGAAAGGAGACCTTGTTAACTTAAATAATGTGCCGTCTCTGACATCATCATGCAACAATAACTGAGTGGCACTCTTGCACAAGAATAGTGACTCCCTGCGGAGGGGGGGGGGGTACTCCCTTTGTTCAAGTGGTAGGGGTAATCGGCGGTCGGTTTTAAAAGCGACCCCCTAAAAGGTACGCATAAATTAGAAGAACTTTTGAAGCCATATTGATGAAAAACTGATGATTGCAGATATCGTTTACGGTAGTCAGTAACTGATAACATCTTTTTGTTGTTCAAGGAAGAAAATTAATAGCAATTGGCCCTAAAACGTAGGGACTCATGTTACATAACTGACTTTTGAGTCGAAACCCCTAAAAGGTTCACACAGAAAATATTTTTCCAACTCTAAAATAAGACCTCTGATCTCCCCTACCACTTGGACAAAAAGGGGACTGGTCATAAAGTAAGGGGGGGGGGGGGCGGTAAAATTCCATTTGAATGAGCTCGTATTTTTGGCCCTGTAATGAGGTAAAAACAAGTGATGACCCCTCCTCCTTGTTTCCATAAGTGAATTACAAATTACCCGCCTCTAATGTGCAGGTCTAGAGACAGCCAACCCCTTTCAAGAAGTTCAAAAATGTGTGACCCACCCCCTATGACAACATTAATAGAGGAAGATCTAGAGCGAGTTATTGAAAACAAAGGAGACGAACAGGGAAATTCAAAGCAGCGGTGAGAAAATGAGAAATGCCAGCGGCCAGCAAGGTGAAAATGAGCGGCGGTGAAAAATAAAAGCGAACATGCCATGAACACAGGAAACAAAACATCGGGTAAACACATACGACAATTCCTCCATAAAAAAAAGCGTGCTGCACGTGCAAATTTGCTTTTTGCTAATTAGAAGAAAAAGTGTGCTGCACGTGCAATTTGTTTTTTTGCTAATTAGATCTACTAGTCTTGAAGCCATTTTCATTGTCGTCTCCGTTAAGCATTACACGATTTAATTTTTTGGTTTATAAGTATTATTAACCAGAGCTTCGCTTTTAGCCCTGGCTAAATCTATATATTAGCGGAGCTCTTCGCGCCGCGCGTGGGAGGAGCCCCATAGCTAAGGAAATGTGGTAATCTACCCATCCGAGAAAATTCGGTAATCACGTGACCGTACACCGAGCGAGCGAGCGATCGAGCGACCGTCCGTCCACACCACAGGCATACCAATGTAAAATAATTCAATCAACAGGTATGCCAACCCAAATGCGACTCAAAGTTTTATTTAGAAGAAAAAACAACAACAAAGTCGTGTCTTTTTCGGCGTTATTTTTTATGTTTGCATTAACGTGGACAACAGAGAAAGAGCTAGAGCAAGTTATTGAAAACAAAGGAGACGAATTTCGTAGGAGGAAAAACATGGAAATTCAAAGCGGCGGTGAGAAAATGAGAAATGCTAGCGACCTGCAAGGTGAAAATGAGCGGCAATGAAAAATAAAAACGAACATGAACACAGGAAACAAAATATTGGGTAAGCACATACGACAATTCCTCCATAAAAATAATGTGTAACTACTGTAGGAAGTTTGACGTTTTAGTCGTACAAAACAGCGTTGTAGTCGTGCAAAACAACAACAAGGGAAAGACAAAAAAGCGTGCTGCACGTGCAAATTTGTTTTTTGCTAATTAGAAGAAAAAGTGTGCTGCACGTGCAATTTGTTTTTTTGCGAATTAGATCTATTAGTCTTGAAGCCATTTTCATTGTCGTCGCCGTTTACCATTACACGATTTAATTTTTTTTGTTTACACGTATTATTGACCAGAGCTTCGCTTTTAGCCCTGGCTAAATCTATATATTATTTTATACCTACAGAGTCGCGTGAAACTCCCTACAACACGACAGGCCGGGTGGCATGAGTACAGTTCCTCTTACGAAGTTGATGATATTCGTATGCACTTGGCGTTTTCGGCGGACGATTCCAGTCGATATGCTGTTTATATCAATCTGCTGACCAGACAGTTTGAGGATATCCGTTTGTTTCTCTGCTGTAACATACTGACTAGCATCAAAGCACTGGAAGTTTTGGCGTATATAACTGCCCTCCAGCGCGGGAACTATCGTGAGTTGGACTCAGACTGCTTGGAGTTTACAAAAGCAGCTGCTAAGCTACAATCTTGGACAAAACTGTTGAGAAAATTGTATACTTGGACAGCATTTTTCTAAACATCGTAGCCGTACCGGTTCTCCCCTCTCCCCCTTCCCCTGAAAGCAATGTTGTTGTGTATTCAAAAGAAAGCCTGATCCCTGGGAGTTTGTAGGAAGCAACATTGAATTGGGGGAAGGAGTTTTCTTTCCGCAAAGGCGTGGTTTTGGAAATAGTTTTGTTGCGTAGGAAAGTGGACATGATGGGGAAAACTTTCTCAAGTAGTTTTGTCCGGGATTGTAGCTTCACAACAGTTTGTCACAGCAAGGGAGCTTGCTAAATCCAAAGTCAGCCTCGAATTGCAGGTGAAAGAGAATCTAGATGACCTCACCATCACTAGTTTTAAAAGTGAAGCGCTCGCTCGCCGCAACCCGTCATCAAAGTACTCTGCCTTGGTTTCTATAGTTTCTATGTTTTCGACTTTAATCAGCTATCTTATACAGAATTAATAATTAAATTGATGAATTCACAGAATTTTTCCGTAAATTCACATTTGTTGACATTTGTCTTAGTATGTAATGATTTACGTACTAATTTGTTATCAAATCATGCTGATGACACTTGATTGACTGTAGTAATCATTGCATTATCATTGTTATAAATTGTAACTTTATGTTAAAGCTTTTGCAATACTGTAACTAAATACTTATAGTCATGCAAATAAAGCTTATGTTGTTGTTGTTGTTGTTGCCGATGCAGTCTTCCTTGATTCGAATGTTTCTCGTCTCGTTAATTGTCCTGACATTCTACCATTTCTTTATCCGTTAAAGGAGCTAAGTCGCACTGTTTTGAGGAGGCGACAGTTCCCTAAAAACCGTATTATGATATATACAGTGTTTTTATTTTCTTTATTATTTATTTTGTCCAAAATATTGCTATTCCAAATGCCACTAACTTTAAGGGTAAATAGAGATTGTTTTGTGTCATATCGCATAATTAAGTTTCAACCGGGCTGACCTTAGGTTTTGTTTCGCATGAATGTCAACCAAAGGATAGTTTCTTGTTAGTTTAACTGTGGCCAAACTAAAGTCTTGTTCACACTAGTTGTGATGAGTATGAAGCGATAGAAAGTAATCGTAACCGATGAACCAATCACATTACCAGTCAAAACTTATGATAGATTTGCACTTCTTGACCGTGACTCTTACGATTTACTATTCATAAACTAGTTCGCTTAAGCGAACCAAAAAAAACGTCTGCAACGGAGGCTAACGCAACCTATTCTATTAGTTATAGATCATAGAATTTTATTTAAAGAAAGAGAGCTGTGAAGTGGTAAAAAGTCAACGACTCAGAAACCGTTTTAGGCATAAATGTTTTGAGTTATTTAGGATTCTGCAAATCATTAGAAAGAATGATAATATCTAGCAGTTGGTCAAGCAAAAAACAGAATCTAATTTGTGCTATAATTGTCACTGTTATTTTCAACAAAATAACTTGATATAGCAAGCATTATCAAATGATTTTTACAATAACTATAATCGTTTTTGGGTGATCATTGTGAAGGAAATATATTGTTCTATTTGAGATGATGCCAGCAGGAACTTAATATTTAGAAAACCCAATCCTGTTCGAGGTGACTCGCATTCGATTCACAGAAAGGGCAAGATATAGCTCTGATTCAGGAAAAGGAACCATAGATACGTCAGGGCCTTCAGGGATACCACGTAGAAATTAAACAGCATTTCTTGTCAACTCATATCTCAATGTTATCATTGTGTTTGTGCGTCGGGTGGGAGGGACTAATATTCTTAGGGGGAGGGGTCGGGGAGAAGAGGGCCGATGCACATAGGGGAAGGGCAAATGCTTTATATTTCTATTTTTATCGGGAGGGGGGGGGCGACTCTTGGGTTTGGAGGGTAGAAATTGGGTCCAAAGTGGGAGGGTCAGCCGAAAATTTTGGTCATATTGGGGATTGGACGCATGCCAAAAAACTTTTATGTAGATTGGGAGTTAGTAAAAAATATGTCAACGGAGAGGGGTTCGTGTGAATATCCATATAGACATATTCTGGAAACCCGCCAGCCCCTCCTCCATGCCCACAAAAAATGCTCTCTTACACAAAGAAATAAACTCGTAATTTATGCAGGTAAAATAAATAAAGGTAAGAAGGTAAAATATGAGGGCGTTGTGAGTAGAAACAGTGAATAACAGGGGAGAAAATGAGCACAGGCATTTTTGAGATAACAAGCATGTTGCATTGTGGTCTAGCTAGTATGAACACCTTTTGTTCGTTGATTGTATGGAAGCTAGCCCAAGCTTCATCGCCATGAGCTGAATTGAGAAAAGGTCAATAATGCAGCTAAATAACGACAGATTGCTTGTACCCTTTAAATTCAATGTCATATCATTGATAATCAATAACTAATCTTACCTCTGACATATATTTAACAATTTCTTGATAACTCTCCCTCTTGTCAAAGTGATCTTTAGCGTCTTTCACTCTATCTTCGTATATCCTGTTGTGTTCTTTCCTCAAGTCTTTGATGTTCTTGACTCCCTTCTTGTTTTGATCCCAAGTCTCAAGCTTTTTGATTAACTTCGTAAAATACCGATTGCGATCCGGCACAGACTTGACTTTCCCCAGCCCTCCAAGATTGGCTTGGGCGTAGTCTTTCAGTTCTTTGTAGAACGAGTCTCTGAATTTATACATCTGTATTGAAAGAGTTAAAAACGCAAGAAAATATTCATACTTAGAAAGACCATCTGTCAACAAACGGTTTTTATGTGGAAAAGTCGCGGAACAGACGTGCCCTACCATTGCAACGATGGTGTCTTCATTGAATAAGAAGGAATCTCGTGCGACTCGACAATCAACGAACGACTACTCTAAATTCTGTAGAGTGACGGTGCCGCGTGACGTCGCTCTTTAGAGCCATACGAAAACTTCTCTAGTGAGAAAAGTTAAGTCTAAAAGGGGAACCTCGAAGCATTGTCACTGAATAGCCCACCCACCTCTAGCTAGTAGCGTCCGCCAGAATGCGTAATTAAGTCAGGGTAATCCCTGATCAGCTTATTTTAATCACGTTCTCACGAAAGAACAACCCTTAACTTTTTAAGTTAATTTCGTAGTTTCGCACCGCGCACCTCTACTGCGCATAACATTGATAGTTCACTTTTCTCTTCTTTAGGTCGGATATGACTCGAAATGGAGGAAAAGCAATGTTGCCGAACAATATATTGTCAAGCACGTCCAACTAAACACTTTTTAGCCACTATTTTGAAACATTTACATTTTATTTAGTCAGCAAGAACCATAAAAGTTATCACGCTAAAAAGTCTCCTTAGTCCTCCCTCTGCCATCAATAATGTTCTTGTACGCCACCAGAATGAAGTAAATCTAAGTTGCCAACGCACAGGTTAAAAACGAACACCTTGACCTTGACCTTTATTTCGTTTTGAAATTAACGAGTTTCCATTAAAACTGTACTAAGTTTCATGAAAAATCTATGTTGGGTTTTATTTGTACGGAATTACCTTAAAACGTTTCATTCTTGAGTTATTCTACCTTCAACTCTTTACCTTAAAATATGCGCTGGCAAGTTCTTGCATTTGATACCAGGGCTTTAGATCCAAGTAAGGCACAATATTCTTAAAGTATCCTGTCATACCAGTAAACAGTTCTGGCATGGCGTATTCCAGAGTGTAAGCATAGACGTTGGTATCAAACACCTCTTCTGACGGCTTGTTGAATGTTTGTCGGAAATATTGGTTGAACGCGCCCGTCAGGATCCCCGAGGTGTGTCCAATTAATCCCACATCGTAATCCGATGTACAAGTAGCGCTGCCGTAGGGTCGAGGGAAGCACACGGCTGTGGGGAGTATGTACCTGCCATTGCTGTCCTGAGTACATGCAGTAAGTGATTTATCGCTCTGCACGAACAGTACATAGGTAACGTACAGGTATCGAGCTTCGGTGATGGCGAGAAGCTTCACGCAGCCATTGGCTTTGTAATCTGGGTTTGACTTGGTTACTTTCCAGTCCGGGTTACGCAGAAAGAAATTCTCGATTCTTGTGGCTGCGTACTAAGTACAAACGTATTAATTCATTTATGGGCCTTTAAGGATTTCACCTTCTCGGCCTAACAGAAAATGCTACTGCTGCTTCTACAGCGACTACTACTGGTTATTAAAGCTGCTGCTGCTACTGCTGCTACTAATGCCACTGCTACTGCTACTGCTACTGCTACTGCTACTACTACTGCTACTGCTGCTACGACCGTTTACGCCAAAACTATCATTTACAGGTTCACTTGGTTGAGGCATTTTTTACCTAATAGCTATCTTGATGCTAATAGACCTTTCCGAATTCGCTTGGATGATCACGAAACAATGGTTTTAAGTCGAGGTTGGCTTTAATAAATAAAAGAATCAAGTTCAGTCTCGACTTGGAACCATTGTTTCGTAATCAGCCGAGCGAATACGGGAAAGGTCTATTGTAAAGAAATTTGGATGCGGACTATCTGAAACTGAATTTAAATAGAGACTCTTTTTTTGAAGGTAAGGTGCCCCTTCTAGTGTTAGGAACATGTCTATTGTTTTTTCTCATGGGACACCAAAAGAGCTAGCCCTGTTATAGGGGTAGGATCACCATCTCAATACTCAATATTACCTTAAAATAGACAGCGCGCGCGCTGTTTTTCATCTCTTCTTCAAATTGTGGTTTCTTGAACTTAGCAGCTTGTCCTGGCAGGGGCTGCAGGCAAAAGTACTTCACTACACAGGTCTCTATCCATTTTACATCTCTGTCGTCATTTGTCTTTTTCAAGGCTCTTTTATATGTAATGGAAGGGAATAGAAGGATGAGTATTTTAAAAATTTTGTGACAAAGGCGAATCCAGGGGAGGAGTGCAGGGGATGCTTACAGTCATTAAGGATTTGATATTATTAACTCATTTGGTGATCGAGTCCCGATCATAAATGGTGCACTTCTAGCTTCAAAAAAAGAAAAGAAAAAGAAGGAAAGAAAGAAAAGAAAAGAAAAAATGGAGGTGCAACACCTGCCCCCTTAAAAAATCCTGGATCCGCCTCTGAAGATTATTGCTAATATTGTTTATCTAGAACAGAAACTCTTGCCCCGTGCAGTTGGTGATTTTCAACCTTTCATAAGTTCACACATAAGGTTAGACGATCGATTATAGTGCTTGGTGGTTCTCTTGCTATATGTTTTATTTCACTTCCGTGAAATAAATTTCCTTTATGCCACCTGCTACTCAAGTGCAGGGAGATTGCATTGGCGAAGCTTGGTTTGATAAGAATACAAATGGTACACCAGTTTTGGTAAACTTGGGCCTCTTAAGTGGCAGTTTATTTTAGGCAATAAATTGTCTATAACACCCGTAAAGGATGCCCTATTTTATTTAGTACAATGACCTTATCAAAGGTGAGGGGAAAAACCGATACGGTGGGTTAAAGAAAAAAGCAAAGCCTGTCGGTGGAGTTGAAGAGAAAAAAGGAAAACTCGCATCTATCACATAAGGTATAATGGCAAGAGAGGAAGCCTGGTGTGTACTAGGATAGCTTTGATCCCAGGCTCCACCAATACCCGAGGTTTCCCCACCGGAAATCTTGATGAAGCATCCGTCATAAATTCATTTAAAAATCGAAATTATTCTCATTCCAAAAAGCTTATTTTTCTTAAAAAAGTATTTTTTTTTTCGCCCTTTTCGAAGATGACGTCACTGCACAGAGAGGAGAAATACCGGACTGATTTTATCGGAAAAAAAGATTCATGACTTCTTACCCTTTATCAAAGCAGTCCGCTTTTTGTTTGGGATTTAACAAGTTACAATCTTCCGCGTTGATCCCAAAACCCTAAAAAACAAGAATCAATCATCTTAGCAAGTTGTCATCAATAGAGGATGAATATAAAATTCTGGCTGGAGAATGCCCAAGTGGCACAAATCTTCTGATGTTTTTTTTCTTTAGGGGGGCGTTTACATGGGAAAAAACTGTTGTCCCAACATTTGTAGAGTGGCAAAGAGCAGAACCCGTGATAAGGCCGCTTCCATGTCGAGGGCGGAGGGTGCCATGTCGAGGGGTCGAGGGTAACATTTTTTTTTGTCAATTTTTTTTTTTTTTTTCCAATTTTTTTTTTTTTTTGAAAAGGTAATAATCGATGCAATCAATGTCATTAAAACAAATAAGAAGAATTTAAAAAACAAATGGCGCGTGAACAAGACAAGACAAGACAATGTTTTATTTGGAGTCTTATACAGTCTTATGTATATCGACTTTATCCAAATAATTTAAAATTATAAAACAAATTGCACACTAGTGGAACTATAATCAATGTTAACCTAAACAACTAATGATCTTCTTTTCTCATAGCAGTCGAATACGTATTTTGCAATTAACTTTTGCACTGGTTTGTTCTTGCTCGGAGGGTTTATTAACAACAGAAAAACGTCATCTGGTGCCATTCTGTTTACTGATATTCTGTATTCTTTGTTTAAGTATTCAAATAAAGTACTTCTTTTTTCTTGATACGCAGGGCACAGAGCTAAAAGGTGTATTTCATCTTCTACGTCTTTTACAGATAGCACAGATCCTCTCTTCCGGTTTCTTATAAGGTCTTACATACCGACCTGTCTCTATCGCCAATTTGTGATTACTTAGACGGAGTTTAGTTAGAGTTATCCGGTGTTGGACGTTGGTGACCTGACGGAGATAATCTTCACATTTATAATTTTCTATTGTTTTAAATCTATTGTCCCAGTCAGCCCAGTGCCGCCATCAACTGCGCCGATAAGTGTTGTAGTCCATGGGTCAATCCTGATTTTGGTACCAATTCGAGGGACAAAGGATGATTGCTGCGAATTGATAGCACATAAGGTGGAGATTGAAAATTTGTATGATAACCTTTCTGTAGGAGTAGCTTTCAGGATATTTTTTTCATGTAAAAGTGCCGGAAATGACCTTTGAGGATACTAAACGTGCACTTAAAATGTACTATATCTTTTGTAGTTTAATTTATTATGAGAGACATGAGAAGTTTTTTGTTGCGTTTTTTTATCGCCAAAATATTATTTGTTTTGATTTAACCAAAGTAGAGCGAAGAAAACTCAAAAGTAGCGTCCGAATTGCATTATGGGTAAAATCCAAAATGGCGGCTACCATGGCAAGGGTAGTGGGTTCTTGATTTTCCGGTTTCATAGCCATTTTACCATGTAAAACGCAATAATTTCAAGAAAAGTCAGCAAAATCATCTAGTTAATAAAGCGCTAAAACTTTTTGAGGCAAAAGTCTTTGAACTTGTGACTTAATAAACAGAATTTTGGAAATACTTACAGTTCTTGTAGAATGTTCACTTCAATAATCCGATATGTATTTTGCTCATATCAGTCATAAACATCTGTTTATATATTTATAAGATTTTGAAATATAATCTAATTTTAGGAATGATCAACCTGTTGCAGTCAACATTATTTGAATTATCGGTTATTCGGTAATGAAAACTCAATATGATATGTCAATTTTTAATACATAGATACATATGGTTTATTTAAACACGATAAAATCATCAGTCTTTGAAGGTTAAGTGAAGTAAAAAGGATATAAAGACTACATACACCTGAATGGCTTACATGATTGCCCTGTGCTGGGAAACAGAAAACTACAAAGCTAACTGGTTTACTTCCCTTTTGAATTGACATAGCGATGTCATTCTTCGTATGTTTTTTGTGGTAACTCATTCCAAATCATGGCACCGCCATGAAAAAAAAAAAAACTTTTGGAAGTCCAGACTTTCGTAAATTATAATATACCGTATGTGCTGTTATGTCCCTGTTTATTGCATTTGCATTGCGACTTAAACCCTGAAAAATCTGATACAAATAGGGTCCTCATCTAAGAAGGAGTGTTGATGATGCTGAGGAGTCAAATGCAGTCAAACGTTTCTGCAAGAAGAAGTGTATCATTCACTGTACCGACGATAGCAGTGATTTAGTTAATCCTAAAGACGAGGAGTTGTGGAAAACCTTGCTACGTGCAGCACAGATTCGAAATCACCAAGAAATCGTACAACTTTGGAAGTCTTTAAGAGAGTGAGAAGTTTCGCTCATTTACTACCATCGTAAGTGTCGAAGCATTTTTTCTATGAAAAATGTATTACATAAATTATCTCAGCAATCATCCAATAGCCAGACTCACCAGGAACAAGTGGCTAAGAGAGTCTCTATTCGAGGATCTTCCAATATTTCCACAACATACGAGCCCATTTGTATTTTTTGTGAAAAGTCAAAATATTTGAAAGGTACAAGGAATCGTGAGCCTTTAGTACAATGCCGATATATGCGTGCAGATAGCTCTATCAGAAAGATTGCTACACAAAAGAATGAGAGCCAGATTCTTGCCCTTGTGTCGCGCGAATTAGTTGCAGCAGAGGCTTGTTATCACAGGACATGCTACAGGAGCTACACTAGACCAGAAGCAAGCAGAAGTGTGAACCCTGATATGAGCAGTGAATCTTCGGATAATGAATATGCCCGTCTAGAGTCTGATGCTTACTGGATGCTTTTTGAGTTTATAAGATCAGCTATGATAGAAAATTAGAAAAACGTAAGGCTTCTTGAGATAACCCAGTTACCTGTAGAGCATCTAATGTCATTAGGGGCTAAGGAATGTAAGCCATCAACGAAGAAGCATATCAAAAGGAACATAGAAGCAGAATTCAGTGAATTGATCAAGTTTGAAAACTTGCTAAACAGCAACCGTGTATTCCTAATCCCTGCTAGCCTAATGCCAGTGCAAATCGCCAGAATTGTACTAAATATCCTTTTGGTAGAAAAAGAAACCAAAGGTTCAACAATGAAGATCTCCAATATTCAGAAAGCTGCGGCTGACATCCGCGATGCTATTCTAAACAAAGAAAGCAAAATGTCATGGCCACCGCGCCCTTCAGAGCTCAATGACAGTGCGTTTTTGCATACCTTGCTGACTGGCAGCAAATATTCGTTAGAGATAATGTTCTCAAAGAGTCCAGCCGTTGATGAAGTCGTTCGCGCAAGACCTGGTATTTGGAGTAAACAGAGGGAGGATTAAGCCACCTAAACAAATTCAAATGCTGTAAAAACTCTCACAAACAATGTACAGCTAGTGTCTATACTAAACCGTTATGGTCATGGTATGTCTTATTCCCAGCTTGAGTATGCAGGTGAGCGTCAAGGCCCTAAGCCAAGAACATATGTTGAAGTAAATTACCAGGAAGCGTTAGAAAATACCCGAAGGAAAAACCTTTTGTGGGTTTTAGTGCGCCTTCTTTCATTTCTCTCACGCAGCCAGATCGGATTACAGCACATTGATTGTGGTATTAGAAGATACAGATGTCTTTATTCTTTGAGTGTCATTCAAGTACTTAATTCCGTCTTCAATAGTTTTTAAGTGTGGAACACAAACAAGAGTTAGATACATGAGCATCACGAGTATAGTGCGAGCCATAGGTCAAACTTTGTGCATCAGTCTCCTTGGCGTGCACGATTATACTGGTTGCGACACAGTAAGTGCTTTTGCTGGACGGGGTAAGATTGGTGCACTTTGAATTGTCAAAGAACAGAGATCCTTTCAGGAAATGTTTGACGTCTTAGGAGAGGAATGGGAATTCTTAGATAATCTATTCCAGATGCTTCAGAATTTCACCTGTCGTATGTACAGTTCCCGCCCAGGGACAAACAGTATCAATGAGCTAAGATAGAGATTGTTCTGTTCAAAGAGATGTAACATCGAGTCCGACCAACTACCGCCTTGCGCTGATTGCTTGTATAAACATGCGTGTCGAGCAAACAGGAATGTGGAGGCGAAGAATTGAAAACTGCCCGAAATTCCGAGTCCCTTGAGACATGGCTGGATTCAGGATGAGAACATGTTAGGGATTGATTGGATGAGTGGTCAGCCAGCTCCCGCAACAGTTTTACAGCTACTTTCTTGTTCTTGCACCAAATCTTGTATGGGCTCACGAACTATAGCTGCCTTGCGAATGGTCTTAAGTGCACAGACAAATGCCGGGTCTCCAATTGTGACAACAGGCGAGAAAAACAAGCTGTCACAGTAGAAGTCGATGCTGACGAGGACTAGAATATGTGGTCTGATTCTGTTTTTCAGCATTATTTCCTTTGGCTGTCGACATGATAAATAAAATGTGTGTGGATTTATTGACCACAGAAGAATATAGTCATTGCTAGTCGTTGCTACATTTAAACATATGACTTGCCAAATGTACACCCAAAATACATAAAAAACAAATGGTCATTGTAAGAGGAATTATAACGATTTGCATGTCAACCTCGGATGTCCAAAAAGCATGACTTCACAGAAAAACCACAATTAGTACCGGTACTTTTCCTAGAGATATGGAGAAATCTCTTGCAAAGAGGAAGAGTTTGCATCTATGGTGTTTTAGTTTAAAGCTTAAAAAGCAGCTTCTTTCACAGCTTGAATATGAGGATTTTACATGTTCCTTTCAGTTTTGATCGTTTTTGAGCACTTTAGGAGACAAAATTGGCATGTTTGGAAATCAAAGATGGCGGATACAATATGGCCGCCAAAAAGGTAATTTCATATTATAGCAGCGCCATAGGTAGCTACAACACCTGAGTCAAGCTAGTATCCAGTTGTCATCTAGAATTATCATTTAACAGATTTTTCAAACAATTAATCTTTATTACTTTAGTTTATATCGACCTCTGGCTCAAAAGGCTACTTTTCTACGTTACCATGGCAACCAACACCAAAATCTATCTAATTTTGCTACAAAAGCCTCGAAAATCACTTGCAAAACAGTGGTACCATTTAATCATCTAGACGTGCCCCAAAATATGAGAGAAAACATGAGTAAAAACTTATGTATGTACATTTATTCGACATTGTTGAAAGCTGAGTGACATCACTTCATCACATGATAAACCCTATAAAACTACTCATTTGACGTGGTTATCATACATTAAAATAAACTAGAGGATTCATAGTTTTTAAAAATATAAGCCACTCTTTGTCCCTCTTTTCTGTACCAAATCATCAAATTTTGGGCCCTGGCCCATGGACTATTGGTTTTGCGTTCCTTTTATGTTTCAGGGTGTTTCAAATTTCTGCAGTGATACACTTTTTAAGCTGCAGAACATAACGTTGGTAATTAAAGGAGTTTATTATTGCGGCGCGACTCGGGCGATAGCATTATCACTCTAGCTACGCACCTACGTACCTGGGTCACGATTTCCGGTGTCGGTGATTATCGATGACTTGTATTTTAAAATTTCATGGCGAGTTTCTACTTCATTGAACGCACGACAATTCGGTCGCATACAGTGGGATAGCTTAAAAAACAAGAATCGGTGAAATATCCATATTCAAACTACCCCACTGAACAGCCAAGCAAGGCAGAGAAGAGGCAGACGTGACTGAAATATAAGCCGCGAAGCAGGGGCACGCAACCACGGTTACCTCCTAAATGCATTGAAAACACTTTTTCGCTTTTCCAGAGTACTTTCAAATCTCTAGAAATGCATTCTAAGCGGCGCTATAAAAGTTGTATCTGTTCGGTCGTCCTTTGAATCTTTTCGAAATCACTTAGGGCCTCAGTATTGTTTTCCCGAAAATTTTAGATGCAATTTTAGGTTTTACGAAAAGTGAGATTTTTCTGATTCCTCTCTCCATCGCATTTTCTAATCCGAAAATTTTAGATTTGCTTTTCCAACCAAAAATAGGCTAAGTTGGGGGCTGAAATGTGAAAAACTAAACTTTAGAAAATCGTAAAGAATTAATTAGATAAGCTACGAAAACTGTACATGAATGGAACGGCCATCTAGAAATTTTTTAGCCTTCCTCAAGTAACAGAAAATTGTAGGCAATTTTTGCTTCGCCGAATAGGTGTTTTACAGAAGACAGTCGTTCGGTGCCCCTGCCTAAGCTCTATGACATTTTTTTTAGGCACAACCTGTCTACCTTCACAGGAAGGGAGAAGGTTCTTTACTTTTAAGGGAATTCGAATGTCCACGTACTATTTTAATTAAACAACAACAACAACATCACATTTTCTTTATGGATGTCCCGGAGCTTTTCTCTATTCCAAAAAAAAAATGTTACCCTCGACCCTCCACATGGCACCCTCGCCCTCGACATGGAACCCTCGACCCTCGACCCTCGACAAAAAGATAGACTCGATGGCTGCCAATGCTGGCGTTGTTAAAGCGATTGTAAGCTTTTACCGCGTTAATTCGGATACGGCATTCGAAAGACAGAGAAGCCGTATTCCGATAAATGACTTAAATACAGTACATGCTCTCAAAAAGCACCTTATTCAATTCTAACAATTAAATACGGCCTTGGAGATTTCGATTTAAAGCTTTATCGGATGGCACCGAAACCCGGGACCGAAACCGGGCGGGAAAAGTGATAACTTCGCCATCACAACGGACGACCAGTGGAAGCTGGAGCTTCCAAGTATGCTGGATGACTCAGGAAGCGAAATGAACAGTATGTATTCTTAGTGCTTGTGTATTTGTTTTATGTAGTGGTGTAAATATAAGCATGCAAGTTAGTCCGGAAAACCTTCTGGGTCCTGCTACGCTTTCAGAATAGTTTCGCTCTTGTTTTCACGTAATGCACTATGTAACATTTATTTTTCTTGAAATTATTTGTGTTTTAATTACGGTGGCCTAATGTATGACTACATTTTGTAGCTTTGCGGCAGCGGTGCGAACCACCGCGTGTGCGTGTGCGGTGCGGCTTACTGTAGTTTGCGAAACGAAATGGAACGAAACGAAACGAAACGAAACGAAATGAGAATCTGTAGTTTGCGAAATGAAAATCTGTAGTTTGCGAAATGAGAATCTGTAGTTTACGAAATGAAAATCTGTAGTTTGCCGAAAATCTGTAGTTTGCGAAATGACAATTTACTTTCTCGCTGCGTCTACTCGGATATTCAAAAGAGAAGAAAACATATTTTGTTTGTCACTCTCTTCCAAACGCGCCTGTTTGGGCGAGTGCAATATTCCCTGATCACTTCATCCCAGCCAATCACAATTGAGCCATTGACAAACAATACCCAATCAAATCAAACGAACTAAAAAAGAAAGAACTCTTCCGATATTTGTTTGTCTTTCTCACGACATACTTCAAATATTTTCAAGGTGAATTTTGATGAGCTAAGGGTCTAAGGGTTAGAGAGGAACGTTATGCTCGGGCAAGCAGGAGAGTAACGATAGAAAGCCGCTTGTAATAAATTCAACTCCAAATTTGAAAAAAAAAGGTTATTAGTGTAGCAATTTTCGAATTAGTGATACAATTTACATTTAAAGTGCCTTTTGAGCTAAATTTTGGATAAAAAAGAAATAACTAAATTACTTAATTAATTATTAACAGCTAATTAACTGACAACTGACAAATGGCCTTAAATTTAACTGACTACTGACAAATGGCCAAAATTTTAACTGACAACTGAGATTTGTACCCCCCCCCTCCATCCAGACCCTCAATGAGCGCTTCATTTGTTTCACTGTTGCTCCAAACTTGTGAAAAACCTTCAATTTGTCGCACCAGAGTAAAGCTACTTGAAGATATTCACAGAAATGTCAGTTTTCCTGCTGATCAAATTGTCCCCTCTCCCAAAGTACAAGGTGTTATATTTCTAATTGATTTCTAAATTGGTCGCATTTGATATTTTGTTCTTTGGCCCCAAAACAGAAAATCATGAGCGTAAAACGGATAGATGTCCTTATAACAAAAGCTAGGCCAAAAACGGTTTTTCTGCTGCGTTGTTTCTGGTACAGGGATATCCTCTTCCCGAGGCCCTGGGAAAACAAACTTTTGCCTAATTTCTTTGTAAATTTATGTCGACCGTTTACATGAGATATTTCACTTTGCGTTGGCTAGAAGGGTCACACTTTTTGCGAAAGAAGGTGACAATTCGCCTATAACCCAAGACAAATCTTTTCGTGTGAGCATTTGGTTTAGCCACAACTGAAATTGCTTGGTTTCTTGGGCAACGTTTTCACCCATCATTTTGCACTACCTTACAGCCCCAGGGCTTACAGCTTTTAAATTAGCAGTAAAAGATAGATTAAAAAAAAAAAGGGGGATGAAATATCAAAATGACCAATTGAAGGCTCTTCAATTAACAGCAAAACAAGTGATTTCACTCTAAGTTTTACCTTGAAGTTCATGTTCAGAAAGACCACAAAAACCGCCAAGTACGTCTGTGAAGTGTCCATCTCGTGACAATTGACCGAATACCGATGGTACTTGTAGTCTAAATAATTTGAGCAATATAAAACGACAAGAAACAATATGTAAAACCGACCATCCGTTTAGAAAGCCTGCTAAATAAATAATAAAATATAGCCGGTAACCCACGGTGAAGGTTTTCAAAATACTAAATGACCAGCAGTCCTGTCTTTTCAGTAAATTTCACCAAACCAAAAAAATCCAGCTAAACCGAACTATCATATGTCGATCCTGAAATGCTTTATAGATCTCAAGAATAGCGTTTGGTTCACGCTGGGCTCAGAAGACGAAACCATGGTTTGTGACACTTAACTTTTTTCAGCTCGACTGCCGGTCAAGGTTTTCAAAGCACTAGATGACCGGCAGTCCTATATTCTCCGTGAATTTCACAGATTGAAATAATCAAGCTAAACCAAACTATCATATGTCGATTAAGAAAAGTCAAGCGAAATGTACTCTGAATATAGGACTGCCGGTCATTTAGGGTTTTCAACACCTTGACCGGCAGTCGAGCTGAAAAAAGTTCTAAGTGTCACAAAACATGGTTTTGTTTTTAGCGTAGACCAAACGGTAGACTGACTTTTCTTTATCGACATTTAACAGTTTAGATTAGCTTGATTTTTCCGATTAAAGTATAGTTTGAAATCGCGTTAAAAATGTTAGTACAGAGAACTGAGGCCGAAGGGGGTTCGATAAAGAATTTGGAGTTTGAAAGATACCATAAGGCAGCTTTCTTGTTTTTAGATATTTAATGCGTTTTTTTAGACAGCAGAAAAGCGGTAACCGCCACCAAATAATAATTAAATATTGTATATTAAACACCAGCACATCTTTTATCTGGAAACTAGAAAATTTGGGAATGAACGTTTCTCATTTTGCAGAGCAAATGTTGTTCAAATTTCTATTGTTGTGGACGATTCTGCCCCCTCATAAACAAGCCATGACGTCATACTGAAATAGGGCACTTAAAGACCAACACTCCACCTTTATCTTAAATACCATCAGCAGTGGCTTCCTTAGGGAAGACTAACTGTTATATTATATTAAATTAGAAACATTGTCTCTTATGTGACGTAATATTCGCCATATTGAATCGCTGGATTGAACAACAAGAGATTTATTTCACTGGCTTCTAAAAATAGCCTTAGGACGAAAATTTTTATCAAGCAACCATAACAATAGTATTACAGGTTTTAGGAGGTAGCAGTCTTAAGAACGTGTTACGGCTATTCGATTTATGACATAAATGGTACCTGTAAAACACTCAAACCACAGCAAAGTGGTTTTCTTGACAGAGCAAAAAAAGCGTTTTTGGTGACCGATTTTTATAAAGACATCTATCCGTTTCTAAACTAAATATTATGTAAACACGCTTTTTTGGGGCCAAAGAAAAAAATATCAAATGCGACCAAAATTTAGTGAGTGTGCATGATTTGGAAAATATAATGCCTTGTACTTTGGGCGAGGTTATAATTTGATCAGAGGAAAAACTGACATCTCCAAGTAGCTTTACTCTAGCTCAACAAATGAAACAAATGAAGCGCTTATAGTTTTGGCGTATCACTCCCAGTTAAATAAAGAAATCGTGAAAGAAGCGGCCTTGTCATTTTTCTACTCTGCCGGTTTTCTTAGCTTAGGAAAGGAAGCCAATGAAGATATCGTTACTAACTAAAAATCATTTCTACTTTTTATACTTCATAGTACATCAAAATTTTTGGTAATGGATCAAAAACGAGAAAGAGTGTTTCATCCGATATCCAAACACCGAGAAGTGGCTTGAAACAACGAGGCGAGGGAGAAAATAAAAACGAAAGTTGACCAGATTTTATTTAGACACAGAGGTGGGGTAATAAAAAATAAAATGACCAATGGAAGGCTCTTCAATTGACAACAAAACAAGTGATTTACCTTGAAGTTCATGTTCAGAAAGACCACAAAAACCACCAAGTACGTCTGTAAAGTGTCCATCTCGTGCCAATTAACCGAATACCGATGGTACTTGTAGTCTAAATAATTTGAGCAATATAAAACGACAAGCAAAAATATAAAACCGACCATCCGTTTAGAAAGCCTGCTAACTTCGCAGTGAATAAATAATAAAATGTGGCCATGTAGCCGGTAACCGGCGAAGGTTTTAAAAATACTAAATGACCGGCAGTCCTGTCTTTTCAGTAAATTTCACCAATCAGAAAAATCCAGCTAAACCAAACTATCATATGTCGATTAAGAAAAGTCAAGCGATCCTGAAATACTTTATAGATCTCGAGAATAGCGTTTGGTTCACGCTGGGCTCAGAAGACGAAACCATGGTTTGTGACACTTAACTTTTTTCAGCTCGACTG